TATATATATATAGTGTGTTTATATACTTGTTCATAAAGAGTTTAACTCATATTATGTAAATAACAAGAGCATGTGATAAAAAAATTGGATTAGTTAAATGGAACTTAAGGGCAATAAGATCAGTTCAAGTGTGAGGTTAAGAATACCTGTTGTTAGGTCTCGCTGATGGTGTTTTAATGGTGCCACTGGCAGTTTTCCCCAATCTGTAATTTGGCATACTTCCTCTTTTTTTTCCTTCTCATGATGAAAATCAAAGTCTTTACACTAGAGGTAATTTCTTCTGGAGCGGGACTAAGGAGTGGAAAGGTGGTGAAGGCACTGATACTTCTGAGTGATGGTGACAGTATCAAATAGATTAAAGCTTTAAATTGCTGGCACTTATATTGTGGAAAATAGAATCAGCACTAAATTCAATGTTCTGGCGTGTTTTTGTCTTGGGGAAGGGTAAATGGCATGGTATCTGGGAGTCACATGTCTTCTGGTTAGACTTCTCCCAGCCTTTGTGTGCTCCTTGAATATAGCTGTAGAAAGGCAAAAGACGCTTTTTGAGCAAGGACGAGACGGAAAAGAAATGAAAACATTGGTTGGTTTAGGGTGGTAGGATTATGGGCTCATTTTTATTTTGTCTTTATGATCATTTTAATGTTTTTTAAGTATCTTTATGATATAAATAAGAAGCAAAAATAAAAAAGGTTTATTACTTATCAAATATTACTGGCCTCTAGGGTATTTGAAGTCTTTGGAGATGTGACTCTCATTATGCAGACAGGCTTGTTCAATCATTCAAGCAATATTTACCTGGCAAGGCATTGTGGAAAACAGAATCCCAATGGAGACACTGTTCTCACAGAGTTGTAAGGGCCTTAAGAAATAAAATAACGTGCTCTGTGTATTAACCACGTGAATGGTTTCATTTTAACAAAAGGAACTAAGGTGTCTTTGAGGACAAAGTACAGTCTCACTTAGACTGGGGAGAATGATAGCAGGTGGTAACCATGGAGATAAGAAGTTTGATGAAATTAGCCAAATATTTTCAGTTCTTTCTCCTTCCAGGCATGTGGTAGAATCGCATGACTTAGGGTTTGTAGAACCACAAGCCTGGGTGTTGCAGTGAATTGTGCCCCTTTGGACTTCTGACACAAGGTCCTACCAAGTTTCCTTTTCCTTCCAGCTTGGCTCCTAACAGCGTTTGAGCTGATAGTTGAACCCTCAGCTTGGGAGCCTGAGTGACCAAGGAAGGCAGAGCTAACCCAGGGCCAACCGTGGACAGGTAGCAGCCCAGAGGTAAATATTTTTTGGCACAAGCTTCTGAAATTTGGGGGCTGCCTGTCATCCCATCAACACTTCGGTTAATCTGATGATGTAAAGTGGAAAGACATTCAGAGCAAAAACAGTATTAACTGAGGTAATGAGGAAATGTCAGCAAAATAATTTTCACTGGATTCTGGGAGTGCTAGTGAGAATGGCGGAAAACATGGCTAGAAAGAGATCTGGGACCTACCAAGGCATGCCTGAACTTTGGGGAGAACAATCCTTTAAGGCCTAGCAGGGTCTTGCCTTTAATTCATTTTATCATTCCATGCTTCCATCCCATACTGAAAGTTGCAAAACTTATATTCAAAGCAGAGACTTCTCTATAAAATTTGGGCCGATTAAAAAAAATGGAGTTAAAGCCAAACCACAAAGTAATAAAGACATAGTAAAGATACGTTGACGATGAAATATCCAGAACGATAACTTTCGTCCACAGAGCAGCCACTGTATGAAACCAGGGCTGCTGTCTGACTTTGCTGCCTCTCTCCTGGCCACGGTGGGTCTACCCTCTGGGCCTAGTGCAGTACCTGAGGGGGACTCGCTGCTAGACACGTTTGTATTCACCCGTGGACAATTTCTCTGCCACGAGCAGGTGGCTGGATCTTCTGAGGAGTCAGGTTTCCATTGTTCAGTGTTATGTATTTCTCCAGAGCAGGATGAACATGTGTTAAGCTTTAGAAAATATTTGAAGAGGCATTAGGAAAAAAACATCTTGTATGAACAAGATGGCAATAATAATAAAATTAGAATTGAATCAGGGATTGGTGGAGGAAATTTAGTTTGATTTGTATCAAACAAGCTCAATTCTGTGAGTGGTTGGTAAAGTAAAATCTAATTTCTGAAGTTCTTGAATCTTCTCATTTCTAAGCGGGGCTTTAATATCATTTTAATGCAGTTTTTTACATATGAATTAATATAATGAATGTCAGTGTTGAATAGAATAAGGTCACATTTTACTACTTTGACCAGAAGTGTAATCTTCTAAGATTCAATTTTATTACTATTATAACAGTCATACTGGATAAGGTCACCAATATCTCTTTCCGAATGATATAATATATGATGACAGCCTTTATACCAACTTTAGTTTTTGTAATTTGGATTGATGTCCTGAAACATGTTGACAGAGATATACCACAGACATTTCTTGGTCAAGTGGCAGCCTGGGGAAGACGTTTCCCTGTAATTTATGAGAAATTTGAAAATGGATAAATGGAGCCATTGAAATGTAGCATTTTCTTGATCATATCATCTCCTTCCCGAGAGATAATGAAATTCTTGTGACGTTTTAGTCTCGTACTTGAAAGGAAAAGGCGATGTTTAAAGACTCTTCAACCAGTAAAAGCAAGTACTGCTCTGTGCTCCCGGCCGAGTGTGAGGCAGCCAGCTGACTCTCCTGCACGATCTTTTGAGTGGCATAAAAACTGAATCGGAAGAGCTCAGGGTTGGCAGCTGTGGCAAAGGGCAACTAGCAAAAGCCTTTACCCTGACCCCTTCTGCAGCAGCCTTGTCCAGTGACCAGTTTCTGCAGGCAAGTTTCCAGTGGGGCCAGCAACAGTGCCTACCTCGGATGCTGGGAGGAGGATTAGGTGAGGGAAGTCTGAGACGTGCTTGGGAGCATGTTTGGCTCGTTATAAGTAACATAAGCTGCTGCTGTTATTGTTATTATAAATATCCACTAGGTAACCACCTCACAAGACAGTGTAATTTCATCTTCTCAGAACTCTTTTTAAAAGTCTTCCTTTTATGTTGAATCCAAAGTTATCTATGTATTTTTTACTACTTTGGCTAGTTTTGACTTTAGGGATCATAAATGATAAAAATGATGCCAGTATTTACTAAAATATTTTACGGTAATTCTTAAAAATAGTTTTATCTCTGCTCTGCACCCATAAAATAATGTCCTCCAAAACAATGGTAATTTCCTAATATTACTACAATGCCATTTTTGTATCAAACAAAATAGCAATTTCTTGATATTACATTGATTATTACTAATTTCTTAATACCAAGCACTCAAATAAGATATGCAATTGTATTTGGCTATTATTTTGGTAATTTATAGGCTGGTATTTTTATGCCTTAGATTTCTTTAAATTAATTTATTTGTCCTGTAGACAACTTTGTATAGTGAGGATCGATTTGTTTGCTTTCCTTGGTATTATTTCACTTGTTTCTCTATCTTTTGTGTTTGGTGAAAATAAATTAGCTCTAAACTGGGCTAGCTAATAGGACAGGAATAAACTGTATCTGGCTGTAAAATTTAAAATGAAATAAAATTTAAAATTCAGTTGTGAATTTGCTTTATCTACACTTCAAATGCAGCTAGCAGCTACAGTGTTAGGGAGTATGAATAAGATCTCCATCATGGTAGAAAATTATGTTAGACAGCTGTGGTCTAAAGATCAACTGTTTTCACATACCAACATGTCCGGCAGTGCTGTGTGCTTCACATCGTACTGTGTAAGGAAACATGGAATCTGGATGTCCCACTCCGTGGTCCTGAAATTAATCAATAGCTTTAGATAGTGGCAGCCTGGTCCTCCATTGTAACGTTCTCCAGCAAGCTTTACCTAAAGCAAGAGTTCTTAAGTTTGTTTGTCAGGTGGACCCTTTTCAGCAGTCACAGAGATCTGTATACCTTGTCTCAAATGTTTTAAATGAGGAAAATTAAGTATATGCAAACCCAAAGGAAACTGACCAGATATTGAATAACAGTTATCTCAGTATTAAAGAACAAATTTTGATATAGAAAAATATGCATTTATTTATTAAACATTAAATAAGAACTACTAGGAAATAGAATGGATGCAATAATGTTGTTATAGTAACAAGCAAATGTGGAGTGAATATTTCAAGATATTTGCAACAACTGAAATTATTTCATATGTTTTTAAAAAATACTTATGATTTATACTTTGAGAGACTCATAGTTACTGCTGTTACTAGTACTATGGTTTATTGCTTACATTTGTGATTTAAGGAGATGCAAAATTTCAGTTAGGAATGAGTAAAAATAAGTACATGTTTTTCCCATTCCTTCTCTTTATCCAGCACCTTCCAGTGAGAGTCTGTGGGACCCCTAAGTGGGAAACTCCTGTTGTAAACCCTAAGTTACTCACTAACAATCTTGCATGAATCCATTATTTCATTAGGGGTTGGAAATGGTGGGGATTTTGTTGTGGTTTTGCTTTCTTTTTTGTTTTTGTAACTCTGTTATCCCTTTCTCTTGTAGAGCTGAAATTCTTTTAATAACTTTCCATTGCTAGTGCTATTTAGTTACCTTGAAATGCAGTTCAAATAGGATAAATAATATTCATTTTGCAGGTGAGATAACTGATAGTCAAAGAGCTCATTTGCCCAGAGATAAATAGCTTAAAAAAGGATGGAAACAGAATTTGAATCCAGATCTGGGCCATGCCACAGTCTACATGCTGGATTAAAATTCTGTCCTGCCATTTACTAGTTGGGTATCCTGCATCCTCCCAGCTTCCTAGGATGGCAGCCTCCTCAGTGTTGCCATTCTTTCCTCATTTCCATGTTGTTTGATTCCCCTCGGACATACTGATTCTTTTTGCGAATGTCCTGCATGCGGTCCCTGGTGGCTACTCAAGTTGAAAAGACTCCAAGAGTGATCCTACCAACAAGATCAGAGTAAGAAATCCCTTCCCCCAACTCAATGCCAGGCTTACATTCAGTCTGAGGTAAAATGTGTTTTGTGGAAACATTTCTCTGTTGACTCATCTTGAGCTTATTCTCAACAAAAACTCCCACGCTGGCCTCACACATGCTGCTGTGGAGTATTCATTAATTAATCAAACTAATTCATTTCCACTATCATTCATTCAAATAGTAATTCACCTAGGTGGACATTTGTTCAAATCATTCCACCACCTACCTATTCACTCACCCATTCAATGTTCAGCAAGAGCTCTATGTCCAAGACACCACACTAGGGTGTGCTTGAGAACCAGAGAGTCCTGATTCCTGCTGTCCTTTCAGTTTGCATCCTAAATAGGAAATAAATAAGCATAAGTGAGTACTACAATTCCAGAATCTGCTACAGGCAATGAAGTATACAGGAGGAGTAGTGGAAAGGGTTACTTTAGATGTCATTGACAAGTCTGCTAAGTGGACGAGTCTCATCTGAAGTGATACCTCACCCAGGCTCCATGTACAGGTCTTTGGATCCGGGCATGAATGAAAGGTAGCCTCTGTTATGAAAGGTAGCCTCTGTTTGTAAAGAGTATCGGAGGCTGATCACACCCCCAGTCACCTGACTAAGGGTACGGCGGCAGAATTAAAAAAGACAAGGCAAGTTCTTAATACATAAATGTGGGACCCTGGATGGTCAAAGCTCTTATCAGGCTCACTCACTGTCTCCTGGAGCTTGGCACTATTTACTGAACACACAGCTTCTAGAAAGGGTGAGGGGAGGTGCAGGAAACACTGAAGTGGAGAGCACTGACGGGAGCAGGGTCCTAGCAACAAGAGAAGGAAACATTCCAGCGAGAACAGCTCGAAGATTAATGGGAAATTTGTGTCTTCTCCTGGATTAATTTTTGCCTCTATAGGAGTTTTCTGTATGAGTCATGCAGCCCTTAGCTGCACTATCATCTTGCCATCCAAGACATCACAGCATCGTGGGTCATGGAGACCTCTGCTGTAAGCAGTGGGGTGGGGAGCTGTTCCTTTCCCATACACCAACTGCTGGCTCTTCAGGCAACCACTGTGGGCTCGTAGGTAGGCTCAGACTTTTAATATGAAAAGCCAATTTATGAGTTTGTAACTCACTCAGGGAGGTCTCCATCAAAGAGCTTTTAGACTACTGCAGGCGACGTATGATAGAAAGGGCCTGTAGGAAAACATTGTGAAGGGTAGGACATGGCTATGTCTGCATCCCCACATTGTCCCAAAAGAACACTCTAGGCAAGGCTTTTGCTCCTTATTTATCATCCATTTGGAATATGGGCCACCAATGATATTGATGTTATACATTGCGCGATTCCCTCCACTTATGCAAGGTTCAAGAGAATATTTGATGAGGAAAACTTACTGCTTAACAGCCAGAACTGACAGTACATTCAGGCGTCAGAAAGTATGGTAATGTTCAATGCCGAAATAAGCTATGTAGGGTAAAAAGAATAGAATCTTGACTATATTTTTTAGGTAGTATACTAAGAGAATACAGAAGAACACATGACAATAGGTATACCCTTCCTGAGGAGAGAATTGTATAAATACATCTGCTCAAGTCACTTTCAGGCCTTGGTTTTCTTCCCCGTACTCCCCTGTTGTTACTGAGATGTACATCAAACATGACACCAGTTCTTGGCACAAGTTTTTGACTTATGGTACCTTAGACATATATTTTATTTTTTCCACCCAATATTTTTTAACAAATTTTAAGTAGAGGGAGCCCTTTACTTTGTGCAGCCATAGGGACTAAAAATGCATGATCAAAAAATACAGTGAACATTTAAACAAATTTTTAATTCATTGCAGTTGCCATTAACACCCCTACAAATACTCCCCTTCACTTTGGAGACCCTTATCCCTTCATATATGCCACTTTCTGAAGTCCTCTTTCGTGAGTATCTTAGTTACACTGTCCTGGGCCTCAGGGTCCTGAATTGATTCAGAAGTTTATCTTTCACCATCATTTTGCTTTGGGGATGAGTCAGTAGTTGCATGATGGCAGATCAGGTGAAAGGTGGTTAGGACAGAGTGTAATGGTTTTTATTTCACAGAGAATTGCCATAAATTTATGACCAATGAGGGATGATCGAAAGATCGGGTGAATGTATAAATATTTTCAAAAAATGTATTACAATAAAAGACACATTGTCATTAATCCCCCTTGAAATACTCAAAATACTTCCCCTCACTTTCAAAAACACTTATCCCATTATTCTGAGTGATGTGTCTTTTACAGTACTCTTCAATTTAAGCATTCACTGTATTCTTCAATCAGCCCCTGTATAAAAATGACCACTGAAGCTGCAACCATGCAGTGTTTACTTAATAATCAACAAGAGAAAACATGACTGGTTCATGACCTTTAAAATGTTTGTGAAGACATCGAAACGCTCTCTTACTATCACTTATAAGAGTATAAGAGCATGGAAAATTAGTAAAACTAATACTTGTGTAGTACTCTGCAATATAAAAATCAGAAACATTGAGAGTTGAAGTGCTTTTCTTTGCAAACACTTATTTATCAAGAGTAGTTTGAACAATGTTTACCTTCTTTTTCTCATCCTACACTTAGTGATTCAGACTGAGCGTCTTTCCTTTGCCTTAGCTAACTGTCATACGCCTGTCAAGTTTGGATCTTCTTCCAACAGTTTACTCTTTGTGCTTTCAACGTTGTGAAATACGAAGTTTTTAAAATTGATTTTTTTCTTTTTTGCTAGTGCACTTCCTCTGGTACATCTTTTCCCTTTTTATTGTAACTGCTCGGCTTATTTCTGCCAACGTACATGGTAACTTTGGCCTCATGAACTTCCTCTTACTACCTGTTAGGAAGTTTTGAACAGCCTTGTAGTCTGCAGTCCCACAGTGAGCTATTTCTTCATTTATGATCAATTTGAAGTTCATGTCTAGCATTGCTACTTTTGTTCCCTTGTTGTGCTATTTTTTTTTTATCAATTCCCTCTTTTGCTTATTCTTTCCAGTGAAATGTCATGCACATTTATTTACCATTGGTAGACCGGGACCGACACAGTTACATATTTACTGGCTGTGTGTGACTGAGTACCAGGTACCAGATATTCAGTGACCAATCACTGATAGGCTTTGAAAGAAGCGATGTAATTGGCTACTGTTCATCACACCCATCTGTTACCTATATAATAATTTATGAGTTGAAGAAGAGCTAGTAGTGGAGTTTGACTTCATGAACTTATTCTGGGTTAATATGCCATGTAATGCAAATTTGAGTCATGTTGTTGGGGAACTAATGTGATTTAACTAAACTGTAGTTTAGTCGACTAAACTATAGTTAAAATTCACCCCTTTATATTTTAACTTTAACTTGATAACTTTTAACTTTTTTTAACTTTATAAATTTTAACTTTATAACTTTAGTTAACTAAACTATAGTTTAGTTAAAACTGAAATTTGTGCATATTGGAGCTGTTATAAGGACTGCCTGTAGTTGCCAGAAATTAGTTATAAGAGAGTTACACCTAGCGATGCAAATTTCCAGTTTCTCTGGGAACCAACCAATACCTGAGTAGCAGCTGCCACCATGGGCATGTGTTTCCCTGTTTGTCCCAGACTCCACCACTCCTTGATATCAGGCATTTGTGGCATCCATTACCGGAGTGTTCAGTGCAGTAGCTAATAGCTACAGGTGGTTATAAGCTTGTAAAATTTAAAGTTTAAAATTAAATAAAATGCAATTAAAATTCAGTTGTTTGGTCATACTAGCCACATTTAAACTGTCAATAGCCACATGCTGCTAATGGCCCCTACATTGGGCAGCACGGGATAAAAACGTTTCCATCATTGGAGCAGACAGTTCCAAGAGGAAACACCACTCTGTTAGTGATCTAGATTAGCTAAATTCCTATGGGCCTAGGACCATCAATAACTCTGAGAATCCAAAATACTTACCCTCCCAATTTGAGTGACTTTTCTCTTCTCTTCCATCAACCGAATAGGATGAGATGAGATTCTGAGTAAGAATATCTTTTCAGGGAGAATCCTTATTGTTCCCATATAAAAGCATTGCTGCTTGAGATTTCTCTACTCCGTAGTATGGTGTTTGAGATTGCAGTCTTATGGAAGAGCATTTAGTCATAATTAATAATCTTTCCACACTTATGTTAGCAAAAAGTGTAGTGATTTAAGCAATTTCTGCTTTCTCTTCAGTAGTGATGGCAAAGGTGGTGGGAATGGTAGGGATGCTGATAATGAGGTAATGGCCCAGTGTCTGACTCCCCGTGCCAGAAGACTGTTGGCAGCCAGGGTGGGTTTTTAGTAGCTGAGCATATTGGGAAAGTAGGGGTGAATTTTAAGATCCTTTAAGAGGAGTGACAGTGTGAAATTATTTTATTTCACACTATTTAAAATCTGTTTTATTTTCTGCTTTCTCTTTCTTTACATATGCTTACATATTTTATTTCACTTATAAACAAAATGAAATTCAAATATGTCAAAATATACATTTTGGCTTTTTTATAACTGTGTTTTAAAAAATTCATACAGTTAGAATTGGAGACCAAAAAGAGATATTAGAAAGATAACTAATTCTTAGACTTTGCTGCCAGTGATACTTAGGTTATATTGGGGAAGGAAAATGCAGCAGGGATCGCAGGGATCAAAGGCAGAAATGGAGGTGCATGGATGAGTGGAATATGGAAACAGAGGTGTGAAGGTTTCAATATGCAGTCAATTGAAGCCTGGGGCCTAAATTATAACACTGATGTTAATGAGACAGGATTTAAACCATGCCTTAACATAATGGCTGCAAAGAGGATTATGCTGAGTAGAGAGAGGAAGCCTTTAATGGGATTCACTTCCACTGACTCTTTTAAGTTTTTCAGCTTTTGTTTTATGACATGAAATGTGGTATTATTTTGGGGAAACCTTTAATACATCCTAATGAATTAGGTACAGATATTAATTCAACTTTAAGAAGAGGACACCGGGCTAAGGGGATTTGAAGAAGAAAGCACAGTTTAGAAGAATGAGTTTCTTAATCAAAATCCTGAATTAGTGAGCATATTTCTTATACTATTATGTTTTTTGTTGTGCTTGATTTGTTTTCTTTTGAGGTACTGGGGATTGAATCTAGGACCATTCCACTGAGGTACATCCCAAACTTTTTTCTTTTTCTTTTTCTTTCTTTCTC